ATGTTAGTAGACCTTCATTTGTATATTTGTTTTATTGTTTTTGTCAGTTTGTTTTACTTTGTTTCTTTGTTCATGTTCTTACTGTATCTTATCTTATGTACAGTATAAAACACTAACAATGCCTGCACACTGGTGCATTTACAAATTGATGTTTTATATTCATTTCATTAAATATTTATCTTACATTTCAGAATATAAAGCAATGTTAATTCAGATCTTAATTTGTTATATACTGATATAAAAAAAACTAAAAGTACCGATAAGAATACCGTTAAAGTACAGAATCGATAAGCAGTATCGGTAAAAGTAGTAATACCGTTAAAACCTTAACGATACCCATCCCTAATACAGAGTGTACTTGGAAAGATTCTGCAATGTTAAAACTATAAAATTAACATTACAATAACTAACCACTATTAACCTTGTGTATACATTTGTGTAGGCGTCAAATTAATACTTTTATTCAGCAAGGCTGCATGAAATTAATCAAAAGTGCAATTGAATTATGTTCTTTCAAACTGTTTTACTGTATTTTGATCAAATAAATGCAGCCTTGGTGAGCAGAAGAAAAATGATTGGATACATTGTATATCATGAATAATAATAATAATAATAACAACAATACAACAGTTCTTGAATGGCCCAGCCAGAGCCCTGACTTAAACCCAATTGAGCATCTCTGGAGAGACCTAAAAATGGCTGTCCACCAACGTTTACCATCCAACCTGACAGAACTGGAGAGGATCTGCAAGGAGGAATGGCAGAGGATCCCCAAATCCAGGTGTGAAAAACTTGTTGCATCTTTCCCAAAAAGACTCATGGCTGTATTAGATCAAAAGGGTGCTTCTACTAAATACTGAGCAAAGGGTCTGAATACTTAGGACCATGTGATATTTCAGTTTTTCTTTTTTAATAAATCTGCAAAAATGTCAACAATTCTGTGTTTTTCTGTCAATATGGGGTGCTGTGTGTACATTAATGAGGAAAAAAAAATAACTAATGATTTTAGCAAATGGCTGCAATATAACAAAGAGTGACAAATTTAAGGGGGTCTGAATACTTTCCGTACCCACTGTATATTATAAATATATGTTTGTATGTACTGTATGGTCTGTTTTGGTGGGCCAGTCTGGGTCATATTTCACACTGCAGTCTGTCTGTACCTGCACAAATTACTCCTGTCAGTTAATTAATATCTCAAGATACTAAGTCAATAACTGTGCACACAGACAGTCATCAGCTCCAGTCATGATGAACGATGATGATTTCCCTGCAAACAAATGTTGACTGGAGCGGCAGAGCACAAAGACACTCAAGAAACTGTTCAATACAGATTCAGCTCAAGGGCTCAGATTCACAAAGATCTTCAAGATAGAAATTAAGAAAATTCTTAAGCTAAATGATAATAAGTTTGTTCTGGAATGGAAGTTCTTTTTAATTCTTAAGAAGTTCTCAAATATTTTCTTAAGAACACCTATTGATGTTTCTTTTTCTTAAGAAGGAAATAACAGGTTTTGGATTGTTATCTGATTACACTGCAGTTCTTGCCTAAGACAACTCAATGAAAAACACCTCAAAGTGCTTTGTGCATTCAGCTTTAGACTATCACAGAGACTCTTGGGACAATAAACAACCTAACAACCACCCAGAGCACCCTAGCAACCCTAGCAGAACACCTAAGAAACGACACCGCAACACCCTCAGCAAATGCATAGCAATGTGATAATGTAATGTGCACAGCAGAACATCTTAGTAACCACATAGCAACACCCTGGCAACCTCCCAGAACACCCTTGCAATCACATTGCTTCTTAGCAGCCACATTGGGACACCCTGGCAACCTCCCAGAATACCCTAGCAATCACATAGCAACACCTTGTCAACCCTCCAGAACACTCTAGCAACCACACTACTATGCCCTGGCAACCTCCCAGAACATCCCAGCAACTGTACAGCAATGTCTAATATGTCTACTTAGCAACGCCCTTGATATCACCCAGAACACCCTATCAACATGTATAGCCGAATACCTTAGCAACGTGTTAGCATAATGTGTAAAGCAGAACACCTTAGCAAACACAGCAAGACCCTGGAAACCTCTTAAAATACCCTAACAACCGCAAAATGCCTCAGTAACCACATAGCAACACCCTGCCAACTTTCTGCAAGACCCTAGCAACTGCATAGCAACGTGTTAACATAATGTGTACAGCAGAACACCTTCGCAAACACAGCAATACCCTGGAAACCTCTTAAAATACCCTAACAACCGCAAAACACCTCAGTAACCACATAGCAACACCCTGGCAACCTCCCAGATCACTCTAGCAACTATATAGCAATGTGTTAACACAATGTAAAACACCTAAGCTACCACATGAATATGAGCAGAGAGGACCAGGTGGAAACGTCATTATGGGAGTCAGTTCTATAAATACTGACGTACCATCATCTTCACATGAGAGACAGGAGTTTGGCATCTAAACACAAACACCTGGTTTTTACAGTACACTGCTGTGGGCCAACCACACTTGGCACTATAAAGTCGAGTCAGCCTATGGCCGTAAAAACCAAATGAATTTCTTTTGGCTCATGCTTCTGGCCGTCTCTGAAAACGCTAAATATGTTTCATCACTTCCAAAGCTTCACTGCTGTGAGTTTCAAAGTCTCGGACAGACTCTGAAGAACCAGGTGAGCAGAGACTGACACAAAAAATGATCCGGAAGCACTGATAAACTAATACATTTAGATCTTTTACTGAGAGAGCTTTGTTAAGAAAGTATGCAAAGCAAGGAAGTACAGCAAATAAGAGTACAATAGTAATTTAAGTAAGAATGTGAGCAACGCAAATAGAAATAATTGGAAATATAAAGCAAATAAACAAGTTAAAGTAAAAGCGCAATTAAAGTATGCAAAGCAGTTAAATTCAGACAAAGTTAATAAGACACAACACATTTAATTGTTTATTTAATTAATTGATATTACTTAGTTATTAGAAATGTAAAATAAATAAATAAAATAAATATATTTTTTTAAAATTTAAAACAGGAAAAGAAAAGCATCAGATATATTTTTTGAACTGGTTTATCTTTTTTCGCACTTTTTGATTTGTTTTTTTATGTTTTTGATTGAAAATTCTTTAAATAAACAAATAAATAAATACATTTTTAAAAGGTAAAATTAAAAAGGAAGAAAAGAAAAACCTGATCCCATGATATCAGATATGTTTTTGCACATGCAAATATTGTTTTGCGCGGTTTTATTTGTTTTTATACTTTTTTATATATGTTTTTTTTTGCATACTGTACATTGTTTTGCACTGTTTCATTTGTATTTTTGTATGCGAATTCTTTGGCAATACAAATGTTTGACATGCCAAAAAATACCTGTCATGCCAATAAAGTGCACTTAAATTAAAACAGAGAGAAGCGGAAATGCAGAGAATGAGAGAATGATGTGTAGCACTAAAGCACTGGTGCAGGAGGAAGAAACGTCAAGTGTTTATTTTAGCCAGACACTAATGACAGACGAGTGTTTGGATGTGAATGTGGAAACAACACACACACACACACACTTGCATACTGTGCTGATAAACACATGAAGTGTTCTTCTGTCCCACTGACACCTGTCACATACTGAATCCTTCAGTACCATCAACAGCCTGTCTGTACAGTCTAAACTTCCCCTGATCTTATGAGATTTACTGCACCTAAAACCCAAACCAGCGCACGCAGAGAGCTTTCATCTGAGCGCTTGAGACGTAAACACGACTTAAACAGGATGACAGATCCATCATTGATGACACCAGATGGATATGTTCCGTTTAATGCACTGTATAAACTGCATACATACTACTGTCAAAAAATTGTATGCAACATTTCAAAAACCAGTTGAGTACGTTTAATTCAAACAGTGACAGAAAAACTGTGCACACTATACTTTAAACTAATATGAGTAGTATGGTAGTATGCTATTCTAAACAGTGAGAGAGTGACGCTCTCTTCTCCTCATAAAACTGCATGAGGAGGATTTATTTTGTGTGAACACACACAGTTTAGCCGTGGAATCATCAGCACATCGGATCTGAGCTAAACACGCATGAAATCGTTTATCTGTTCCTGCCGTTCAATGTAATGTGTTACAGATGTACTGTCTGCATGTGCGCTTCTTACACTGTATACACATCACAGAAAGGATATACAGGGGTGGATGACATGCTAAACTCCATCTAAAACTTGTCTGAATAGCATTTTGCTGTTTTATCATTACGCATGCATCTTTTACATTCAAATAAATGAGAATTTGTACTTATAAAAACTACATGGAACAGGTCTCAATAGAGTTACTGTTACTACTGTAAGCCTTTTGCAAGCACACAGCACACACTGTCGGTTTATAGTTCAGTTACTGGACCATCAAGAGCTGCGAGGGAAGATTCCAGGATGAGAAGCACGTCTTGAGAGCAGCTTTCTGTGGTTTTGGGTTCATAACACATGATCTAAGATGCACTGACTGTAATGGAGACTGCAGATCTTCAACGAGCTCATTTAAATCCATTCACAAGTAACAAAGAGATATTTGGTGATTCCATTAAGAGCCAGAAAATACTGAACATACGATCAATAGAATGAAAGAATGAACAGCAAAACAATAGATAGATAGGTAGATAGATCGACAGACAGACAGACAGACAGACAGACAGACAGACAGACAGACAGACAGATAGATAGATAGATAGATAGATAGATAGATAGATAGATAGATATAGGTTTGTCTGCGCATAAATAATATGTAGTACATTTTGAAAGCTTTTAAATAATGTGGTAGATTTTTAACACACTAAACACTAGCGATGTAAATGAAGTGCACGCAAAAGCACAAATGTCAGCGCGTGTGTCAGCGCATACCGGTCCGGCGAGTTGAAATGCAAAAAAAAAAACACGCCGGGAGCGTGTCCAAAAGCGTCGCCTCATTTGATGCGCTCGTGCTCTCCAGCGAGCAGACTGTAGACACACGCGCTCCCACCGCTCCTCCCAGACCGACGTTAAAGCGCGACGCGAGCACAGCTCTCCGGAGTTTCACCGCGGTCCGTGCCGTGCGACAGACTTTCCAAACGGACTCTCTATCAAAACCATTACATATCAACTCCACTCGAGTACACATGAGACATATTTCATATCGCTCGGAAAGAAACGCGAGTTGCTGGATAACTAAACGCGCCGCTGATGCGCTCGAGCTGGTGAGTGAAACTCAAAGTTTAATGAATGAAGAATCCAAATGTGTGATGTTGATTTCACAGTGTTAGTGTGTATTCGTGTGAAAATCCCCACTTTACGGATCTCAAATTCATATGTAGACGAACTACCCATACGTGTTACAGCTAGCTCTTTACATTATGCATGCATTCATTTAGCAGGCAAATGAGCAATATTGTTTTTATACACAAGAAATGCTCTCTAAGAGTTATCCTAGATGCGCAGCAATCAAGTTTCAAAGTTAGACTGAAACCTTGATCGTCAGTTCACGGTTTCACAAACATTGCATTGGTTCACAGCGGTTCAAAAGGTTTGATGCTGGTGCACCGGTGCACTTGAGTGTTAAGTGTGCATGCTTAACGTGCGTGTGTAACCTAATGTTGCACAAGCATGAAAACAGCTATTCAGATAAAAACGGCAAAAGTCTGTATTTAAACACTTTAAAATAGAGTTCTTAAGTTGCTCTATGGAGACTAAAACAAGTTCTTAATGCTTCATTATAGGTTTTTAAAGTCGGTACTTTGATTTCTGGGTTCCTTAAGGCACCAAATCATATATGGGTTTCTAAAGAACTAAAGAAAAGTTATTTGTAGAACCTAAAACAGTCCTTCTACAGAATCAGGTTACAAACCCCTGTTTAGTTCAAATTAGAATCTTTATTTTTTAAGACTGTATGTGACTTTTATACACATACACACACTCCCAAATGCTATATAATCATTGTGGAATGAATCAAAAGCTCTGAACAGCCAATGCAAATGCTGGTGACTTCAAGTGTTTGACCACAGCAGGACAAAAGGATTGCGTCTGGACCGCGCCGGCTTCTATTTCTCTCAGAGAAAGCATATTTTGGTGCTGTTTGCCTTTATTTTAGGAGCTCGCTCCACATCAAACTCTGGCAGTCGAAAAGTTCAGCAAACAAATGGCCACAAACAGTTTTAATTTTGTACGCTCAACAGGAGTTCAAAGGTAGTGCTGCGGCTCAAACACAAATCTGTTTAGTCACACGGGAGATTAACTGTTATTTCTTGACTTTATTTCATGTTTCTAATTCTTACTCAGTGCCGTGTCAGTGATTAGTCCAAGAGAGGGAGGAAGCGATCAACTATCTTGTCTGGGTCATAAAACTGTCATATAATAAATTAAGTGATCAAAATGAATATCATACATAACCGAAGGCAGAAACAAGGACAGATGCTCTTCTAAGAGCAAGCCACAGGTAATACATTGAGATTAGAAATAAAAAGAAAGACAATATACACTCTAAAAAATGCTGGGTTAAATATAACCCAGCGCTGGGTTAAAAAGGGACAAACCCAGCTATTGGTTTGTTTTGAACCCAACCGCTGGGTCAAAACAAAAGCGTGTCCATACTTAAAACCTGAGTGAGCCATAGTATAGAACAACCCAACCGCTGGGTCAAAACAACCCAACCGCTGGGTCAAAACAACCCAACCGCTGGGTCAAAACTACCCAACCGCTGGGTCAAAACAACCCAACCGCTGGGTCAAAACTACCCAACCGCTGGGTCAAAACAACCCAACCGCTGGGTCAAAACTACCCAACCGCTGGGTCAAAACTACCCAACCGCTGGGTCAAAACTACCCAACCGCTGGGTCAAAACTACCCAACCGCTGGGTCAAAACAACCCAAGCGCTGGGTCAAAACAACCCAACCGCTGGGTCAAAACAACCCAACCGCTGGGTCAAAACAACCCAAACGCTGGGTCAAAACAACCCAACCGCTGGGTCAAAACAACCCAACCGCTGGGTCAAAACAACCCAATAGCTGGGTTTGTCCCTTTTTAACCCAGCATTTTTAGAGTGTACTCATAAATCTTACAATTATGTTAAATATATTCAAATGTTAATATGTTTCTTCTTCATAAATCTCTTTATTCCGGAAGAATAAGATTGCACAGACCTTTAAACACTTTTTCGGACCAAATCTTGACATATTACCATCACAAAAACGTTTGTCAGAGATCTTTCCAATAAGAGCCTTAAGGAAATGTAAAACACATGTCTGTTACTATTCTGTATATTTATCTCTGCCTGTGTAATTGCAGATTTCAGCGCTAGTTTACGATAGCAAGCTGATATGGCAAGCAGGCGCCTCGTGAGCAGTGTCATTCAAACATGTGATAATCATCTTTGCGTGGCACAGAACGTCGTTTAGTGTTTAATTGCATTTAATTAAGTTCAGCGGAAAGCCCAACATATACTCAGAAGCAATAAAAGTCCTTCGAAAACACAACTGAAAGCCCCATTCAATTAAGTTTTTTTTGTCACAGAGGAGCGTTTGTTTGATCACCAGGCTGGACTCTGCACTTTGCTTTGCTTTTCTTGCACAAAATGAGAAGTTTTGTTTTGATTGCATCCTCTTTCCTAGCTGAAGGCTTTACGGACATCCAATACTTAATATATCTTAATGCATTTGTGAAACCGTGTAACCTAATAAGAATCAGACTCCAGTGGATGGGTGACCAGAGTACCTTCCTGTGAGCATGCAGTTCAGGGTTTCATACCTTGCAAATGTCAAAGAGAGAAGCCCAGAATAGAGGAGATTATGTAGACGTTGATTAGTCAAAACGGAAGGTGAGAGGATATGAGAAAGGATGAAACTAGACGGAAAAGTAAATATTCCTGTCTGTGAGACTTCATTAAAGGAATAGTTCTCCCAAAAATGAAAATTTGCTGAAAATGTGCTCACCCTCAGGCCATCCAAGATGTAGATGAGTTTGTTTCTTCATCAGAACAGATTTGGAGAAATGTAGCATTACATCACTTGCTCACCACAGTGGATCCTCTGCAGTGAATGGGTGCCGTCAGAATGAGAGTCCAAACAGCTGATAAAAACATCACATTAATCCACACCACTCCAGTCCATCGTTTAAGTGAAGTGGAGTGAAAAGCTGCGTTTGAAAGAAACAAATCCATCAAGTCATTTTTAACTTCAAACAATTGCTTCCAGCTAAAATATGAGTCTCTATCCATAATATTGCTTTCGCCAGTGAAAAAGTTAGTCTGAATCAGGAGAGAAATATGCACAGATCAAGCACCATTTACAAGCAAAAACAGCTCTAAACAAATATGTGGCTGGAATTGTTATGGGTTATGGACATGGTTTATGGGTTATTTTGGCCAGAAGCAATGGTTTAAAGTTAAAATGCCTTAATGGAGTGGTGTGGATTATTGTGATGTTTTTATCAGCTGTTTGGGCTCTCATTCTGACGGCACCCATTCACTGCAGAGGATCCATCGGTGAGCAAGTGATGAAATGCATCAAATACATTTCTCCAAATCTGTTCCAATAAAAAAACTCATCTAAATCTTGAATGGCTTGAATGGGTGAGTACCGTATTGGCCCGAATATAATACTACCCTGATTATAAGACGACCCCCCCTTTTCCCAGATGTACCTTTTGGAAAAAGGCTTTTTAAAAACCAAATCTTGCTTTTTCTCAGTAGAACACATTTTGTCTTCAATTATTTTCATATTGCATATTTTTCCTATTTAAATTTTTGTTTTGAAAGTATGGTAAAAACTGGTAAAATGTACCAACAATCACATTTAAAAAATATACACTTTTTGATATACCATAAAAAAAAGAAACATGAATTAGGACATTTAGGCTACTACTCGTCCTACAAAGTTTGTGGTACTGACATGAATGATTCCTCATCATGCAGCTAGTTGAGGAGAAGTGTGCTGCTTACTAAGCAATCAGGTTTACTAGGGGCCATATCTAGGGATATCAGAATATAATAGACACTAACAAGCTAGACTTGTAGTACTTAGACTTAAATACTTGAAATATGACAGTGTCATATTCATAAATATTCTAAAGGTTCTAAAAGATACATAAATAAAAGATTGTAAAAAAAAAAAAGATAAAAGATTATTGAATAAAATATTCTACATTAAAAGATTCTAAGAGATAAATAAAAAGGTTCCAAAATTTAAAAGATTCTAAGATACTTCAATAAAAATGTTCTAAAAGGTTCTACTTTAAACGATTCTAAATTACAGTATTCTGCAAAAGATTTAAAAACATTCTAAAGTAAAAGAATCATAAACATTCTACAATAAAATATTTAAAAACATTCTAAAATGTTCTACAATTAACTATTATAAAATAACTTAAAATATTATGAAACATTCTGCATTAAAAAAAATCCTAAAAGATTCAAAAAGAAAAGATTCTAAAAGTGTCTAGATTAAAATATTATAAAAGATTCTACATTAAAAGATTTTTAAAAATTCTAAAATAAAAGAATCAAAACGTCCAACAATAAAAAGTTCTAAAATATTCTACAATAAACTATTCTTAAAAAAATCTATTAAAATATTCAAAAAAATTCTACATTCAAATTCAAAAATGAAAAGATTCTACAATAAAAGATTTTAAACATTGTAAAATAAAAGATTTTAAAACGTTCTACAACAAAGTGTTTTAAATGATTCTAAATTAAACTACTGTAAGAGATTCTACATTCAAATATTATAAAATCTAAGTTTCTAAAAGATTGTACATTAAAACATTATAAACTATTCTACAGTAAGATTCTAAAATAAAATAAAATACCCATTATATGACAATGCTTTATTAGTAGGGCTGGAATGGCACTGGGCAGAATCTGAAGGGTGTTTCCGTGCTATTGTTCCCACATGATCGGATTTGTGGCGTCCTGCTGATTTTGGTTCCCTTTTACACCAGTTAACAGGCCGTTCTCTGCTGGCCTGTCCTTCACAATGCTGGATTAAGAGGTTAAAAGTCAGGCAGGAGGTGAAGGCAGTGGAGGGGTTGAAGGGCCATAAAGAGCGGAGAGACAGGGTTAGTCAGACAGCGGGCGGCTCGACGGAGTCGACAGGGCAGAAAAAGCAACATTTGTGAAAGAATCCAAAGGGAAAGCAGCATAAGTGCAAACCTCATCTCTAATTGCATGCATGCATGCAACATGGCATGTCTGATAGGAGCTTT